GGTTGCATACCAAAATAACGGCCTTGGTGGAGGCCATATCCGATTCTCTGATAGGGAGGTTGAGCATGGACGAAGATTTGCACTTGGCTTGCGACGTCGTTAATGGGCTCTCGAGATTGGGAAATTGGTATGGGACTCTGAGGGCTTTGCTAATTGTTGACGCAATGGTGTCCCTAGAGAGGGATATCGTTGGTCAGGGGCGCTATTTACCTCAGGTTACGCTCAACTTAATTAGATTGTTAACTTCAGAGGAGGTGGCGGAAATTCGAAGCTGCAGGAGGACGGGTGGCAGATCAAAATCAAGCACCAAAGCAACTAAGTAGTAACTAGTTATCCCTAAGGTAAAATGGAATTACCAAACAGCAGTTTATCCAATTGGTCTCCTTATATCTTTTTCCTCTGTCTGTTGTTGCTCTCTGGTTAAGAGAGCGAGGGATCTTTAGTTTGTCGAAGAATTGGTTGAGATGGATCGCCGCACGTGATCCGGGGGTTATCTGGCAGTTTTTGAACCTTAACTTCACTTTTTCAACGTTCTCCTTGGACACAAAGCGTATGGAATATCTTATCTGTTGTTGATATTCCACCGTTCTGTAGATGGAACTATGTAAACAATTAATACCAGTAGCTACCCTGAAATATGCTCTGGGGGCCTTCTACTGCCAGCTTACCACCCTGTATCTGCTGGTGGCTTGTTACTCTGCCCACTGTGTTGCCAGTAAGCGAGGGACTTGCATAAACAGTGCGCTGTGAGGTTATCCCCAACCTCAGCGCTCAACAACACAACACCCTGGGTTGATTTTGTGCATCTTTACAGCACACTTTATGAATAGCACCAGCCAATGGCGGTAGGATCTGCATTTCTGTTCCCATATTTCCCTCTCTTCTGCCTTCCAGAGTGTTGCTATAAAGCAACACCTCCCGCTCAACGCCTCCCTCTGTTCTCATTTTCTTTTCCAATGAGAGATCTCTTCCACCTCCTCCGTCTCTTTCATGCTTTCTATCAGACTGGAGATAGAACTAGCAACTTTTTTCCCTCTGAGATTACTTCCTTCATTTCGCTCCTTTTCTCCTTTGCTTTTCCTGTTTCCTTATCCAAAAGCATTCTCAAGGGACAACAATTCCTAGTGTTTCCAACCCCACAGGGTGGTTTCATGCCTTTACCCAACGTACATTTTATCCTGCTTCTTTTTTTTTTTTTTTTCTCTATATACCCTCAGTTTAAAACCTCATCTACTGCTTTTCCACCACCAACATCTGGACAAACCCGGCTATCATGGTCCCGATGACCCTTAGAAGCTACCGTGTTCCGGACTCTCCGCGTATGTTCGTTCCCGTCCTGTGTTTCATATATGCAATTTCGGCTAATGACATGTATTAGAAACGGTCGGTGAAAGCTCCTCACCCGTTGGCGAAGTCAATGACTCCATAGATATGATTTCCAAAACTACGAAGGCCTTTGTGAAAAAAATCCAAGATCTACGACACCTTGGTGTAGAAAATAACGAACTACCACTGCCTAAGATCTGCGTCGTAGGAGATCAAAGCACTGGGAAAAGTTCGCTAATTGAAGGGATGAGTGAGATCAAAGTGCCCCGAAGCGCTGGCTGTTGCACCCGATGCCCATTGGAGATCAATCTATCCGACTGCGATCAACCAGATCCAACTTGGACCTGCAAGATATTCCTTATGAAGAAATACATCTACAGCAGCCAGGTTATGAAACGCGGTAGGAAAGGCAAGGGTTTGGGCCCATGGATCGAGCAGGACCCGGAACACATTCCTTTCATCACATTGACCGACAAAGCTGGTGTTCAAGAGGCATTGAAATGGGCGCAGTTGGCTACTTTGAACCCATCTACCCCATATGAGGAGTACATTCCGGGGCACAATGTTGGAACAGACGAGAGTACCCAGGTAAAGTTCTCACCAAATGTGGTCCGTCTTGATATCTCTGCACCCCATTTCCCAAACCTATCATTCTATGATCTCCCAGGTGTCATCAATGTCGCAGAAGTTGATGAGGAAAAATATTTGGTGATTCTTGTTGAGAACCTTGTGAGGCAATATATCTCATCAAGTAACTGCACTGTTATTTTGACGCTTCCAATGACGGATGATGCCACAAACTCAAGTGCGGCTAGGATTATTAGAGAGGTTGGGGCAACTTCAAGAACACTGGGGGTTCTTACTAAACCGGACCGCATTGGTTATGGGGAGGGATATGACCAGTGGATCGAGATCCTGCGTGGTGACAAGTTCACAGTTGGTCATAGCTATTATGTCGTTCGAAACAATCCAAATCCCCAAGTCGAGTATGCTCAAGCTCGTGAGGAGGAGGTTGAGTTTTTCAACACGGGCCCTTGGAAAAATGAACTTTCTGCGCATAGTGAAAGATTTGGCACCCGTAATCTGCAGATGGCCCTATCACAACTGCTGAAGAAGCAAATAGAACGCAGCTTACCTGGGATTAGAGATCAGATTAAGGTTCGAGCACAGGCAGTCGAAAATGAGCTGATGACTCTGCCTGATCCGCCCTCTGCAAACATCCAATTCATATTGTCCGACAAATTGAATGACTTCAACAATGTCATATGCAGTCATATGAATGGTGGCTCCGTGGGATTGGATTTTCCTCTGCAAAAGCAGTGGATGAAGATTGCGGCAGATTTCCAGCAGAGCCTGCTAATAACTCGACCAACAATGAAGACAGGAGCGGTCGTGGAGAAATATCTCTCCAGGAGAGTACCAAATCAACCATGTAATACATCGATCAGCTTTGACGATGGGGATTGCGAGATTACGGAGAGCCGCCCTTCACCCAATAAACGCAAAGCGGGCACGGTAGAACCCGATCCCGGTGTCAAACGACAGATGAAGTCACCACTGCTGCAGAACTCCTCAGCTTCTAATCAGAATGGGTATTTGACTAGACGCTTTGACCGATTTACAAGTTCGTATTTGATGTTTAATCCCTATAAATCTATCGACGTGTCACTAACTTGAAGTGTGGGGTAGGACCTGTCAAAATATTTAGCCTCGAAGAGATCAGAGAAATTAGTAGCAATACTTATGCCTCGGGGGTGCCTGGACTTGCGAACCCGCTCGCAGTGGAAACAATGAACAAGCTCAGCGTTATGCACTGGGATCAACCAATGGAAGAGTTCCTAGCCGCCACCTACACCTTAATGGAAGGGTTTCTTATGGAGAACCTAGACGTGGTCTTTTCCTCATACCAACGCACAGCACTCTATGGAGAGTTAAAGCGTATTATTTTGAATTTTCTACAGGTATTGAAGGATCCGCACCTCCGCCACACTAGTGAATGCTACCAAATCGAGTGCACGAAGCCATTCACGATGGCCAGTGAGACTTTTCAGCGAGCCCAGAAGGATGCTTTCGATGTCCTGAAGGCAAAAAGACAAGAATGTCGGGCAGCTCAGTTTGTCAATTCGGGGGGTGTAGCACTAAATGGAAGAAGAGTTGAGCCAGATAAGCTCACGGATGCAGATATGGGGGAAGATGAGTTTACCAGGGAGATTGAGATTATGGCTGTATGGTTTATGAACCTCCATTTCCCACTTGCGCAAGTCAATTAATATGGACATGCTACGCAGGCCTCCAGGGCGTACTACGAGGTGGCAAGTTCTCGTTTCGTCGATACTCTTTGCCAGAGCGTTCACTCGAAGCTATTCTTTAAGTTCGACAAGGAGCTCCGTTCTGTCATCCTCAAAGAACTTGGAATTTTGAATGATAACGGTACGTGTCTCTATCTATGTGAATAGATACATATCTTATCTCCCCCCAACACCTCCCGTGATATCTGTTGTGTAAAATTTCAGCTTCTCTGTTCCATGCGGCTAATCCACTCATTTTCTACTTTGTATTCACCTAGCGTCCGAACGCTGCCTCGAACTCATGGTCGAAGATCCTGAACAGCAAATGCGCCGACGTGATTTGAAAAAGGAGCAGGACAAACTTAAAAAGGCGATGGAGTCGTTGAGGACTGTCGAGGACGATGCTGGGATGCGCGATTTTGTTATGCTCAACGCCGACCAAGTCTGAGATTCTAACCACTTTGTAATCGCTATTGGACTTTTTTCCCTAGAAAATTAGGGGGGGGGGAAGAATGATGATGCTTTCGTGTGGGGATGTTGATGTTTCTTTCGAGGTAAAATATTCTGGGCTTTCTGGTGCTTGCTGTCTCAGTTCGATGATTTGTCCTGAATCCGGGGAGAAATTTACTAGTAAATTTGCATGTCCTAGTCTATTTCTTCTTCTTTCTGGTAAATATTTAGCCTGTTCTAGGTTGGATTGATTGATGGTGAACAGTTTGGTCCCTGCACTCCTGTATTATGCCCCCTTCTCCTTCGGCAGTTTGTGTACGAGATTTGTGTACATAGTTCCCTAGAACAAAATGAAGGGATATGACGATTACTTGTATTACCCAAGTCATCCCTCTTTGGTCTCCTCGTTGCCTTTGCTGGTAAACCCCTCAATCTGTCTCCATAAGGAAATAGGTTTTAGGGTTAGGGCCCATCTGAAAAAAGCAGTGGGAAGAAGTGAGAAACTGATCCAGGTCGAGGAATTACTTACATTGCGTAAAATCCTTTAAGGCTAATAAATATCGCTAGGGAGTCATGTAGCCTAAGCTATATTTCATACTTAATAACTCTGCTGCTGTTGGTAGGACGATCACATTCGAATTGGGCCGCCAGGGAGAAAATTAGGAGTGGAAAATTTTGTGATATTTTTTTAACTCTTCAATTTTAAGTATTTCAACAATCAGAATCAACATCAACCCCTCCAAACGTATGCCAACAACTGTATTTCGAAACAAAGAATTCTGTTGCAACCCGCAACCAATCGCTTTGATAGATATTGACCACACTCCAAGGACCCTCGCAAACTATCTGAAGCCCTGTGGACATCTCAAGCAAACCGAACTAGCACGGTCCACCTCATAATCCATCCAGCTGCCCTCACTCCTGAACGATTAAACGATGGCGGGACCAGATCAGGACTCATCCGCTGATGCCGCCGCTGGAAATCTCGCCAACTTGCACCTCGACGAAGTCACTGGCGAAAGGGTATCCAAGTCAGAATTGAAGAAGAGACAAAAGCTGCGGGCTAAGGAGGCGGAAAAGAAGGAAAAGGCCGCTGCTGCACCGCCTAAGGCGGAGAAGAAGGCCAGTGTTGAAGAGGAAGAGAGCAATCTAACCCCTAATGTGAGTTTAACACTGTCTAATTTACTGTCTAATTTACTTCTTTTGTTTGGAATTTAGAAGAAGGAAATTAACCGGTTTAATTTGTTCCCCCCTTTTGCCGCATTTATAGCAATATTTCGAGATCCGAAGTGGACGAGTGAACAAGCTCCGACAAACCAAGAGCCCCAATCCTTACCCGCACAAGTTCCAGGTTACGGACGATGCGCGGGAGATTATCAAGAAGTACGAGTCGCTTCAGAAGGGAGATCAGATCAAAGAGAAGGAAGTGCGCATTGCGGGACGGATTTACACCAAGCGGTCGGCTGGTGCCAAGTTGATATTCTACGATGTTCGCGCGGAAGGCGTAAAGATTCAAGTTGCTTGCCAGGCGCAAAATGCGGAAGGCGATGTTTCCTTCGAAGCCCAGCATGAGCATCTGAGAAGAGGAGATATCATTGGTGTCGTTGGGTGGCCCGGCCGCACTGCTCCAAAGAACCGTGCAGATGGAGAACTGTCAATATTTGCCAAGGAGGTCATTTTGCTTGCACCGTGTCTGCACCAGATTCCTTCAGAGCATTATGGGCTTCGCGATCAAGAACAGCGATATAGACAACGGTATCTCGACTTGATTATGAACGACAAGTCGCGAAATGTCTTCATCACCCGGTCGAAGATGATTACCTACATCCGTCGCTTTTTCGATGAGCGTGACTTCGTCGAGGTGGAAACTCCAATGATGAACAGTATTGCAGGTGGTGCTACTGCCAAGCCATTCATTACCCACCACAACGATCTAAACATGGACATGTTCATGCGAGTCGCACCAGAGCTTTATCTCAAGATGTTGATCGTTGGTGGCTTAGAGCGAGTCTACGAGCTGGGTCGTCAGTTCCGAAACGAAGGAATCGACCTGACGCATAACCCGGAGTTTACAACCTGCGAATTCTATTGGGCGTATGCTGACGTTTACGATGTCATGAACGTGACTGAGGAGCTGGTTTCTGGACTCGTCAAACACATCACTGGTGGCTACGAGACGACCTTCCACACCCAGACAGGAGAGGAGTACAAGGTCAACTGGAAGGCTCCGTGGAAGCGAATCGAGATGATCCCCGCCCTTGAGGAAGCAACAGGCGAGAAGTTCCCGCCTGGCGACCAGCTGCATACCCCGGAAACAAACGAGTTCCTCAAGAAGCTCCTCATGAAGGTGAATGTCCAGTGCAGCCCTCCAGAGACCAACGCGCGCATGCTGGATAAGCTTGTCGGGGAGTTCATCGAAGAGACCTGCATCAACCCCACCTTCATCACGGGGCATCCGCAGATGATGTCACCGCTCGCCAAGTACCATCGTAACAACGTCGGGTTATGTGAGCGCTTCGAAGCCTTCGTGTGCAAGAAGGAGATTGTCAACGCATACACCGAGTTGAACGACCCCTTCGACCAGCGACTGCGGTTCGAAGAACAGGCTTCGCAGAAGGCACAGGGCGACGACGAAGCGCAGATGATTGACGAGAACTTCTGTACCAGTTTGGAATACGGTCTCCCGCCGACTGGAGGCTGGGGAATGGGTATTGATCGACTTGTCATGTTCCTGACTGATAATTATAGTATTAAGGAGGTGCTTGCGTTCCCATTCATGAAGGAGGATAAGAGTGCGGCTGCGAAGGAGGAGAAGTTGGCAGCCGAGGTTGTGGGTATTAAACCTCTCCCTGTGGAGGGAATTCGTGAGTTCTCCTACAAAACCCATTCTCACCCGGTGCTGTGCCATCAATATTTTTCTGGATTTTCTTGTATAGGCGTCGGTTAATTCTAACATATGCATCAGCACATAAATAAAATTCGAGGTGTGAGATGATATTTTGCTCGATTTCATGAGTGACGACTACATGGAGATGGATTACGAACCGATCAGTCCTATATAGGTTGTGAAAATAGAAGTCAGTCATTCAATAGTTTTCATTCCTCGTGGGTCTAGGATAGTTGTCTTCTTTTCATCTTGGATTCCCTTTCTTTTTCTAAAGAAGTTCTTTAGAAATATCTTATAACGTTTCTCTGGGTGTGACATCTACCTTTCCTGTGCACTACCCCGGGACAGATACCGACAAAAAGCCTATAAACCTCCAATATTCTTCCTTTCTCTTGGTGGAGGAATCGGTGTTTTTGAAATTGTTGGTTTTCTTTACTAAAATTCCCTATTATCGCTGGTTTCAATGCCCCTCTTAAAGCATAACCATGTCCTAAGACCAACAGATATTAAAACCAATTAAGGTATTGGAATACATACCCACTCTCGCTCTGCTTGTAATTCCTCTTGTTTTCGCTTCTCATTGTCAGGGCGGGGATTACAATTCTTCGTTGGATCTTGGGTACATCTTTGTCTTCTTCACAACCCAGGCCAAGTCTTACCACTTCGACAGCATTTGCCAATAATACCGTCTTGTGGTACACACATCCGCAAGCCAATATGTGTGAATATCCCCTTGAATTCTTCTACTTAGGTGAATAGTTCTTGTCTACTGAAGTTTGCCTCATCCGATGCCATCGCTATATTTTGCTGGATTATCCAGTAGTTGTTGCCTTCGATATAGAAAGAAGATCGTTTCATCTACCGCGGATATGTATACTTCTGTTGACGACATGGAATTTCTTCAGTGGGCGATCCTCAGCAAGCAATACACTCGACTGTTCATCTTCTGCCATCCACTCGATATACGAAAGTGCCTCTTCTCAGGCCTCTTGTTTGCTGTTACTGTTTGCCTTACATACGATTCACCATCTAAATGCGATAATATCTGAAAGAAAGATATTCCCTGCTGGAGGGTATCGCCGCAGCTCCCATTACGTTCCACATTAATCTAGGATATTCGCCCCGCCCCAGGAAACGGGTTGTGGGATACTCTGCTCATTTGGATCTACGCAAATCACTCTTGGAATACTGTGTCATTATTTTCACTTGCAGGCAGCTTTTTCAGTGTTCTTTTCCTTGTTTACCCAACGAGCTCTCTCACTGTTCTCAGATTTCTGAAGTAATGAAGTTCATCTACATATTCACTTCAATGGTTAAGTTATTCTATTATTCACAATAGGATAATTGTGAATACTTGTTGAAAAAGTTCATGATTTTTTCTGACTATTTATTGCTTTGTTTTCTTCTGCTTTCAACTATTAACAACTATTCGCAGTATATCTATCCGTTCAACAAACAGTTTCTCTGACCTTTAAAATCAACACTGTGTCTTGACACGAGATACATTGCACACTTCTTCAACTCTCTCTCAATACATATTAGTTTTGATACTTCTGTCCTTTAAGATCTAGTTCTTTTTGTGAGTCTCACCACTGGTCCAAAGACATCTACTCAAATCTTACGGAGCTAGCTTGTCCTCTATAACTCCCTAGCTCTCCCCAGCATTAGCTATGGAGACTATAAACACCTTTTCCACATCGAGAGGTTCCTCACCTAGTCCTCCTAAAGCCCCCTTGGACCACAAATTCTCCTCCCGTACCCCTGAAGCGCGCTCACCCAGCGACGATCCCAGCAGCCCGTCGCCTTCGCTGTCTCCAGTGCCATCCAGTTCGGAAGCGTTAAATGCTCCAGGTGAGACTCCCAACGAGGAGGTTCTTCCTGTGCCTCCACGATTCACAGCTGTTAGCGACCCAGTTTCAAATTTAACGGTAGCTAACAGTGCATTTCCATCTCCATACTCAGCTGCCAGTGGACATAATAACTTCAAGCAGATCGTCATTCATACGGCCAAATGTGACAAATGCAACGATCACAACAAAGCCACCCTGAATCGTTGCACGACATGTGGTTTTCAGATCTGCACCCCATGCTGGATCCGCCGGGGTGGTGGGCATCACACTGGCACGAGGACATTTACAGGTCCTATATTTGATCCCAATGCCGTGGACGACGGTATTGGCGATGACGAAGGAGATGTCGACGAACATGAGTCTGAAGAGGATGAGGTAATGATGTCTGATACCTCGAATGATGTGGGGGATGGTGATGGCGGAATGGTCATCACCACTGATAACAATGAATCAGGGGACGACGAGATTGTGGTTAGCCTGCCAGCAAAGCCATGTATTGGAACACGAAGTGCCACTCGTCGTAGCGCTGCTCTCTCCTCGAGCCTAACACCCAACAATAGCACTGCTGATTACAAGGAATTTTCTGATCAGACCCACGTCGAAGACGGCATCGACAACGGCGGGGGAAGAAATAATGACGGTGTCGTTTTCCTAGCTAGCAGGCCTCTCAATCACAATGCCGACAACGACAACTACCACAACTACAACCGGTATTACTGCGACCTGACGGGCGACGCTCGCGAGCGTATCGATGCGCTCATTGTCACCGCGTCGGTGTTATTCCACGACATGGATTCTAATCGTACAATGGTGGAGGTATCCGCCCTCTCAAGCCCACTCACCCCTCCTTTAAACGCCCCATACACAAACCAAACTTGGAGCAACCACCTTGCGCCACCTCCAACACAAAACCGGGGCCAAGGGCCATTACTCCAAAACCAACGAACCCTCCCTCCCCTCCCTCCCCTCCCTCTCTTCGTTCTCATCGGCCCAGACGACCACCTAATACCTGCATACAACGAGCATCGCTCACGTCAACCCATCCAACCCTCCTATCTGACGGACATCTTCAGAGACCCTCTCCCTCCAACTCTGCACATAAGCCATGTGCGGGAGGATCGGGGGTATTCGACACATCTACCAGCGTCGCGCTCCTCCAACTCCACCTCACCTTGAGAAGCGGAAAGAGTCACCTGACGACGCACCGGGGCGAGTGGCTTGCCAGTTTGAGCCATTGACTGGTGAGAGCACAGATGGAGAGGGGGATGAGTAATGTGAGTGGGCGGCAAAGTGAGTTTAGATTCTGGATGCCTAAGAAATTGACCTGAGTGAGATTGTGAGTGAGTGAGTCGCAAACAATAACATAGTTCAAAGCATGATAATCTGATGAGGGCATCATTTTTCCATAAAGAAGGGGAGAGCGGGTTTCATTCTAGATCTGCTGTCTTAGTTCCAGCATGGATTATTTGAGATCAGATGCGACATTGACTTCAGGTTGCCTTATTCCATGCTTTCTTTTTTTCCGTAATTATACCGCTGTGTAGCTACGGAGTACCTAGGAATCTCTGACCAGTTTGCAATTAAAGGGAGAGACATATGAAGCTCAGGCAATTTTCCTGCTTCCGTGTAATTCTTGAACTATTTCTCTTTTCGTATGATATTTTTCCTATCATCACCTCTTCATGTCATGTTCTGCATGGTTGTCAGTTTTTGCCTATTGATACATGGCTTTTTAGCATCTCTCCTTTCTCAGAAGCTTTGTTTTCAACCGTTGGAGTTTCCTTAAATTAATGTTGTTTCATTCTTGTAGTATACATTCTGTTCGTTTGCGTCGTTAGAGAAAAGATAGCAAATCCTTGCGTTTTCTGAACCTGGGTTATCTTTCCGTTTGGACGACATTGTTCGTGATCTTTGTTTGGCTGTCCTCTTTGGCCCTCTGCTCTCCCTGGCTGTTTTAGGTGGCGTTCTGTCTTATTGTCAAACCCTGTCATATTATCCACATCCTGTTTTATTTTCTCTAATCCCTCCCTTTCTCTTTCTGAGAGATGTGATCTTATTTCCCTACCTGGTCAACTAAAAAATGGTAACATGTACACTGTTCCTTGCTTTCCTGCTCTCCTTTCTCATTTCCTTTCCTTCGCTCTTGGCCTTTTTTTTTTTTTTTTTTTGGTTATCAGCTGTGAAAATGTTTCAGTTTCGTTGAATGTACCTCCCACAATGAAAATCAAGATATATGCAGCCGTCACTTCGCTTTTCGTCTTCGGCATGTGTACTGTATTCAAAACTATGTATGATACAACTTGTAGCCTTGAGTTTCCAGGAAGGTTTAGTCCATGTTGAGGTTCGCGGAACGGGGACTGGATATGATGTGATTTGAGGGGATGAAGGGTGAAAAGTATATACATATGTATAACATTGACTGGGGATAATCTTCGTAGTGGTTCCATACCAGATGGTGACCGCTCATTGGGTAGAGAGGTATAAAGTATATGTAGGGAACAAAGATCAAGAATGTATAAAGAGGAGAAAGTAGAGAATATGGATAGTTAAAAGAAAAATGGTTTAAAATTACACTGTACATGAAGAAGAGATTGATTTACGGAGGCTTGCACAACCTCAGAATATGATCTTCAACTCAAACAAACGAGGAAGGGCCAGAATCTATCGACCAGCAACAGTCTTAGGTGCGGCGCTCTTGCTCATCTTTGCCGCCATCTGTAGCAGCCGTGCAGTGCGCGATGGATGCCAAATTCTGCTCCCAAGCACAAGAACCCATGTCAACAGGAATAAACTACCCGCTTGATGCGCTGAGGCAAGGTGAATGGGAACCAGGTATACGAGAGTCGAAATTCCTAACGAAGCTTGTAGGAACGTGAAGCCAACAACGCCATGCATGCCCTTCTTTGCAATCTTGGGTAGTAACTGTTTGACATTCGGCGAGAAGTGGGTATAGGCCCACAAGCCCATTACGGAAGAGAAGGTTGTCATGGCTAAGATGCGATGGTTGAGCTGGACGAGTGATGGGTTCTCGAGCATGTTGCGCCACCAGAGGTCTGATTTATCTGCTAGTCGGGAGTAGTGAGAGGAGAAGAGTTCAGAGGTGGGAGGCACGAATCTTTCTCCCATGTAAGGGAATTCGTTGTATATGAGGCCTGCGTCAAGACCAGCGACGAGACCGCCGGACATGGCCGTAGCAAAGACGAGAAGGGTGAGTCCGGCAACGGATTTGCGGAAGATGCTGAGTTTAGGATGGCGAAGGGCGTTGAGGATTTCGATACCCTTGGAAGGATCTGCAATAAGGCGGTTAGAGCGTAGGATTGCCAACCCGTTCCACAGCATGGCGGTATAGCAGAGGAAGGCTGAGCCCAGATGTGCGGTTAATCTGTACTGGCTAACTCTGGGATGGCTACCGGGAGTGAAGAGGTCATCTTTCAGTCCTGACTTAACCATCCACCAACCAATGATGCCTTGAAACCCGATCAGGCCGGAAATTCCCAGTAATCGGAAGGACATAGGCTTGGAAACCCTCTTGGTTGCGACAAAGTAGGCCGCTGGTAGGACAAAGGAGAGACCAACGAAGCGGCCCCATTGTCTGTGGATCCACTCCATGTAGTATATGAATTTAAACTCGGAGAGTGTCATATTGGGCCTCAGGACTTGGTATTCAGGGAAGGATCTGTATTTCTCGAATTCAGATTCCCAGTCGGCCGTGTTGAAAGGGGGTAAGGAGCCGGTCACTGGTCTCCATTCTGTAATACTCAATCTGGTGTTAAAAACGTAGATTAGCAAACGTCCTCCGTCAGGGCTAAACCAAACAAAAGAAATAAAGAAAAACAAACCCAGATTCTGTTAGCCTTGTTAATCCTCCAAACACAACAATGCCAAAGACAGAGGCAGCGCTCCCCAAAAGCCAGTAAGCCACAACTTTGCTGCTCACGTCGGGAAATTTGGAGCTGCTGGCGGAGGAGCCATTCGTGGCAAACTTTGCTGCGGAAGAAAAGAATGGTAAGTTTAATATTGAAAGGTCTTGTCTGCGTGTTGCTGGAAGGAAGGGGGCCATTCTGGTGCTGTTCTGGAAGCGGTGCATGCCCATCCATCTTCGCGAGAATTTGCGGAACTGTGCTTGATTATGATGTAGGCATTGACGGCAGGTGAAGAACTCCTTTGGGAGACGGGGAGCCAGGCTCCTGAACATAGGAACAGCAGAGGCCATTGTGGTAGCTGGTAGCTCGCAATGGATCTCCCCAAAGCATACAAGTCATACAGCAGTTGTATATTGGTAATTGTTCTCACAATGTATAAATTGAAGTTGAGGTTGGAATTCCCGACACTCCGAGTAATCCATTCAGCGCTGATTGGATACATTGACTACACGTTCAACCCACCGAGCCCTAGCCTTTCTCTTAGTCATCCGTAGCTGGTGCCCAACGCTTTTGTTGCTTGAACGTTGAAAGTAGGCTGTTAAAAGAGCTACGTTGACGCCGTTGTTTGGCCGCATAGAGGGGTCAAAATATGCCCATTGGCAAAAGGAGTGGGTATGGCTGCTGCAGGGGATACATGTCCGCGGCGGGGTCAGACGTATCCCAATTGCTCTGTTGTCACTGTGATTTTCACCTGCTGGTCGTCCTTATGCTGTTACACTTCTTCTTATGCTCGCTGTTAAATGCCTGACTGGCGCCATTTCAACCCGTGTGAGGAATAACTCTGACTTATGATTCACTTCGATTGGAGAACCAGACAGATATCTCTCCAACGTTCCTGCAGTTACTCTCCCTCCTGTTGAATTTAAAATTCCTACGGAACCTCACAAAATAAACTGCCCGGGGGGGGGGGATATACCGCCCGCATTTGCTCTATTTTTGACTCCATCAAGTAAAAATATGGAGCCTTGGATATTTACAATTTGTAAATTTGGCTTCTATTGCTCTTTCACACCATTTCTTTATTCTTAAAGTATAGAGTGCTTGTTACTTAAGGCAAAAGTGCAGGGAGAAACAGAAATACTTTGATGAGTGGCAGAGGATGATGCCTCATTCCATCACCAATAACAACCATCGCTACAACAACACTTTACTGTTTTATAGCGATGAAGACCATCAAAATCATGGTTCTTTCCAGAATCCCCCAAGACTGTTGTCATCTCTCTTTTTAAGACACCAACAGCGTGTTTTCCACTCCAAACTCTCCAAAGAATGTTTGTTTTTCCCTTCATCCTCCATCTCCTCCAAAACCCTCTTAACCCATCCAAGTCATTTCTGTCCCATCCAGGTTATCACTGTATTGATATTTTCTTTGTCAAGAGACATACGCAGCCCGCGTAACCGTACGTTCACATCACATGCAAGTCCCCAGGTGCCTCCCAGTGTTATCCGCAGCCAGAGGCCTGGTAGCTTGAAATCCCCATCATCAGAGTGGCTGAAATTGATGCGTTCATGCCAAACGGTCGAACAAACTTCCGGAGGCATTCTCAAGTCCTGCCCCTTTGACGTTATGTCGGCTGAAGCCGCCGACATGGACGCTGATCCATTCATATCCAGCTCAGCCACACCATCTCGTTCCAGCGATCACGGTAAGGTATTCTTCTTCCTCTTTTTAATGACTGGTTGTAATATCTTCGGCAGTTGGGGAACTTGATGAAACTGCTGTCCCAGCCACGGGCACAGTGACCACACTGGCGCCGGATGTGATATCTTTTGGTCACTTTGGAGGCTATGCACCAGATATAGAGATTAGGGCATTTGGTGCGATTTACCTCCTGCATCGTTTAATTATTAGACGCAGCCCTTACTTTTATGCCATGTTTGCTGCTGGATGGGCGGAAACTTGGGGACGGGCCATTACCATTTTTCCCACAGAGATGGATGGAAACATTACAAAGATGGGATTCGACGTTGCTCTAGGGTATCTGTATGGCCGCTCCGTCTGCTATATGGCCAGACTTGATCCTGTCGGGGTATTTGCGACCTGCCAGTGGCTGGGACTCCCCGAACCGATTAATTGGGCTGGCCAATACATGATACGCCACTTAGATGACTCTACAATCCCTTATGCCCTTTCCATTTTCACTAGATCTTATTATGGAGTAGATGGAAATCTGGTCCTGGAATCTGCCAAGACTATGCTTCGTTTACGTGGAACCGAAACGGATGTCATGCTATGGACTCAAATTCCTGCTGAGATGGTAAGAGAAATTGTTGGCGGTGATGACTTTTACGTTAAGTCTGAGTTGAAGAGGTGGGAGTATGCAGTGGCTATTCTTGACCACTCTCTAGAAGTAACAGCCGCGAAACTACGAATCCCCTTTTTGGACGATAGTCGCACAGCCCCTGATCACGTTAAGCGCGAATTAGACGGCATTTTTTCCGACCACCCTGTGGAAGTTGACACGTCTAATGACTCAAACGCTGATAGCCCATTTTCGGAGGACATACATAACCAGTGGCTCAGTCTTTACATGCACCCGGACGTTGTTCCAATCCGACAATTGATAATCGAAGATATTGGATATATGCACATTCCCTTTGCAAATTTCCGCCGCATTCAGTCGGATTGCGACATCTTCGGGGTGCACACTATTCAGCCTGCTGTACTGACATCGTCCATTTTGCAGGCGTTAAGACTTGGCCACCTGGTGGATAGGGCTGAAGGAGTCCGCCTCAAAATGAACAGTGGTGAAGTGGTGTTTCTTAGTGAACTTCCCGCAGTCCAGCGGTCACATATTCATCGCTTCCACTTGCAATCTGGGCTGTCGCTATACTCCCAACCCGGGGGAGATATGACAACCCGCGAATATCCTGTTGTGAGTGAGGATAACGTTATAGCAGCTTTGCCAGTTACTCGGAAAGTAACGGGGCTTATTACCGAGGTGTGTAAGTATGGATGGCAAAATGGATACCTCAGCAATCAAATTGCTCTAGGATGGGACGGCTACCAATTTCCAGTCATGGCTCCTTCTCCTAAATATAGCCCATTCCCTCCATTTAGGTTCTGCGCTAGTTTTCCTAACCCCATCCAGCTCACTGATAAACAACGGCTGTTCTCAACCCCTTTCTGGTATGCGGGCGCCTCCTGGACCATATGTCTCTGGAATAGCCTCAACGACAAAGAGAGAAAGATAGGGATCTACCTGCGACGCATGTATGACGCCCGTCCTGTCGTGCCTTCTTTTGACGCGTGGAGTGCGCAACTCAATCCTCCTCACCCCGACTACCATGATCCGCTTACCCATATTTCCGGTCCTGACAACATATCTGCAAACGCTGTGCACGGTTCACATGGGCGTCTCCGCCAAAAGAGGAGACCAGGCAGGAATATAGGCACGCTCCAAACCGTCATGACCCAGTTCCCAAATTCCCTCGTGATAGCCCGCCGTGAAAATGATGTTGCTTATGAACTCCCATACACCGACTATCGCCCAACTGCCACTGCGTATTTCAAACTGTATTCCAATATCGCCTGTTTAGGACCTCTCGCCTCCTTCCAGAGTAAGCCGGAGCTGTTTCGACTCGATAAGTGCTGGGGGTGGGATGTGCGCTTGGAACCCAACATAGATCCGCTGTGGAATCTTTGTGGGAACCCACAGAGCGGGACGCAATTGAAGATTTGCTTGGTTATTGGTGAGCTGACATTTTTTATCTCTTTTTTTTTTTTGGCGTGGGATGTGATCAACTGACTTTTATCCCTCGTTAGGTATTGTGTGAAGAAGAAAAATCGTACTATCGCTACCACCTCGCCTCCAAGTGCCTGCCAACGGTGTTTCCATTTATTCCTTGAGTTGTAATTTTGCTCTCCACGCTTTGATTCCGCTGATTCTCTTTCATGACGCCACTCCATTTTTCCATCTGCTCATTTCTGAAAGTCGTCCAACTTGGGAGACCAACCCCATTCCATGGGGGTGTTGAAATCCCCTTTCCCCCTCTTTTTTTTTTTTTTTTTTGCGGCAAATGTTTAGCTCAACTAATTCTTCCATTCAAGTTGACTTACAACTTTCTGTTCCTCGGTTTTTCCTTCCACTTGCAACACCGCTTGTCTCCCCGTTTCGCCCCACATTTCACTTTTCTCTTATCCCCTGGTGAATCCCGCTTTCAACTTTTCGAGTTCCTGATGCGATGTCAACTGCATATGGGAAATTGAAGTTTTATTTTTACAGCCCTCTCTTTATTGCAGTGACTCCTAACAGGTTTGTTTGGCGAAGAGTCGCTTTCTGCCTTTTTCCCCCCTTGTCAGTTTACCATCCCTGTGACCACTGTAGTTGTTCCATGTTAATTTATTTTTTCTTCTTTCCTCCCCGATCCCTTTGTCGGCGATATCTACAACAATTCTGCCTTGTGAAGAAATTTGGCTGTGACTTTTTTCCTTGTATATGTCGGAATGCTCCCTCCGTGTGTTGCCCAAGCCGCTTTACTATATCCCTTTCTACGAGATAAACCGGTGTTGATGTGCATGCTTCCTAGTGCAAACAAAAAAGGAAAAAGAAGAAACAAACAAAGAAAAAAGAGTGAGAGAGAGAGAGTAAAAATCCGATAAATACATTGCTTGAGTATATACCGGCTCCGTTCCAGTCATTGGAGATTGCACAAGAAAAAGAAGTGATTAAGCGAATACAATTATTACAACTGCCGATCACAAATGAACCCCTAACTTAACTGCCCATATCTCCAACTCCAGACCCAACTCCAGGCTCACCATCCCATGTCTCCATAATCCACCTCTTCAAGGTGGGCAGGCCATGGAAAAATCTCAAGTTTAACATCAGTCGCACACGTAAGCTCTCTATACGAGCAGCAGTAGCATGTCCGTTGAAACTACATACCCCACGCTCGCCCGCGAAAACGCAGACGGTGCCATGTCTCCATGTTAGCCATGAACAGCCATTAGGACATTGGTTAAGTTGAATGGTTTCCTAAGGCTGACTAGTCAATCGGATTCTCCATCTAGCAAAAGTTCTTAATCTCAGGTAGGCTTTTATTGCTATTAAAGCCTATGAAATCAAGAAAATTTCAGCTATTCAAGTCATTGCTAAGATGTACAATATTTCTCAAATACTTTAGCAAATAGATTAATACTCAAATTTTATATATGATATTTAATCAAATTGCCAAAAACTAATCTTTAGAAAGAAAAAACTTTTTGATTCAATAAATAATATTTATAAAACAGTGTTTTTGAATTAAAACAGTGTATGAAATAATCAGTTTACTACTTGTAAAGTATAAATTTAGAACTTTTAATACTATAAAAATTAATTGAGTTAATAGATTTATTTAATGATATTATAATATTTTTATCTAAATATGGTTAAATATCTATGAGCTCTATTAAAATTTAAAGCTTTGATTTAAATAATTTAAATTATTTAATAATACTTTAAATAAATAACTAGTTATAAAATTGTTTTTAAAAATTATATGATTTTAATCAAAATAATTTTTAATAAAAGTTATTTTAACTAGTTATTAGTTTTAATAATAATTAATTAAATATTAAATAAATAAAATAGCTTTTGTATAGTTGCAAAATACAAAATTAATAGTTATTTTGAGATATTTAATGCTATAGACTAAGTTTTATTTTTGTAATCATATATTAAAGTTTAAAATATAAATAGTAATATTTAGAAAATTAATTAATAAAATAATATAATAATCTGAACTCAATTAATTATAAAAAAGATAATATAGCTATAAAATATATTTAATATATATGCTGAGATTTAAATAGATAATAAATATGAATTATTAACTATAAATAAATTTAAAAATTAGATAGCTAAAATTGATAAATTTTATCTAAATTATATTATTTTATATAGTCTTAACTATACATATCTTTATACTTCTTTTATTTACTAAATGTAACGGGCTAGTGGCTGAGAACAGTTGATAACTAACGCGTATGAAAACAGAACGATTGGCAACCGCCAGGGCTACTCACCGAGGACAACGAGCTTGAATATGAAATAGAAGAAATCGGCAATGGACGAATGAACCACCGCCGCCAGGAACTGCTTGTGAAATGGACTGGCTACGCCCAACCGACCTGGGACCCAGGTCCACACTGGAAGACACCGCCGCACTCACCACGTATTAAGCTGCCTCGATAGCGCCGCTCCGATAGCGCTTGCTTTGATCGCACGAAGGCGGAGCCTGAGTACCATGAGGGTTAGGGCATAGCCCTTTACACTCCAAACACTAAATTCCTCTAGTTGTTGAATAATTAAGATAGCTGCTAGCTGGCATTTAACATGAGAAATCAAAAATCATAAGTTTAAATCTTATAAAGAGTATCTTAAATTCAATAAGAAATAAATTCAATTCATATTGAATAATATCTGATTAATCTATAGTATTATAGTAAAGCTAACTGTGAGTGAATTTCACATATAAATTGCTATCAATTTTTAAATTGAAAATTATATAATTATTATAAGTTTTAGATTTAATCACTCATTATTTTTTATTCATTAACTATAAAGTTTTAGATATAGTTTTTTAACTATAAGCATGTTTTAACACTAAATTTTTTTTTATATAATCAACTTTTGTGAAACTTTATATTAAATATAAATTTGTTATAATTAGTAATTCATATATAAGTATAAGAAAAAAAATTTAAAAAAATTAAAAATTATATTAAATGATAAAATTAAAAATTAAATTATTATTATTATTATTAAAATATTTAGTTAATTTAAATAATCAAAGTTATTATAAAATAATAGTAAAATTTTTAAATAATATAGTGTTAAAGCGCAGTTGCTTGTAATATGGATTAAGGTTAATCTGCTCTGCTCTGAAGGTTGATCCGCTCCAATTTCCAAGCATTCAGTTGCTTGTTCATTCCACATTCTAATCCCCCAGTTTAGTATTTTCATCGCAGCTGCCTAGTTAGATAGATGAATTAAAGCTATTGTGTTGTTATCATTCTGACTTTAAATTAAGTCATGATATATATTTAGTATGTAATTTTCAACTTAAAAATTATTATTTTTCAAACTAAATAATAGTAAAATAAATCAATTCTCTTAACAATTTATAATTTAAAATAATTAAAATATAAAGATAATTAAATTTTAATAAGTATGAAATAAATAAATAAATTAAAACAAGAAAAATTTTTAAAAGTAAAATCAATTTAATAAGAGAATAAAATAATAGATTAGTAAACTACTTTTTAAATAGTTATAAACTTCTTAAATTCAATTAACATTTTGTAATTTAATCATCAGATCTTAGTATCTAGATAAACATTTCAGTTTAAATTAAAACTAAAGTCAATTAAAAACCTTTTTTCTGTCTCAGCGAAGTAAATCATATTTAAATTGATTTTTTTTTTTTTGATTTAATTCATATATTTTAAGAAGTTCAGCTCCTGTACCTCTGCTGATATATACTTTTATAGCACTAATAAATTCATATCTATGATCTGAAATAATAAAATTAACTATATAACTATATGATAAAATAAGCTTTAGAGAAAGATCTTTATAAAAGCTTTAGTGTTATATGCTGATACAAAGTTGAATAATAAAATCTTTTATTTAAAATAATTAATAATAATTATAATATTCTCATAGCTATTACAGTGTTATATTATTCCCATTATGCTTACGGCAAAGGGCAGACATGAAAGAATGTGCGAAGCTTCTGCTGACGAAAGGCGGCGCAAATAAGAATTTGGCGGAAGAGTTTGTTAGTGAGAAGTGGACTTTGTCTGGCAAGGGTATCGTCGGGGAGCTGGAGAAGTTGGGAAGGAGGGTGATAGTGCCACCTCCAATTCCCATGCCGGTGAAAAACTAAGGTTTCCCCATCTCCATTAAATATTTGATGCTAGCGCTTCCATTTTATCGTCATTCAACGTTTGCACTGTATTCTACCTTTGTTTTTCCTTTACCACTACCTCTCCTATACTCATTTATTGTATTGGTTTTTACCATTTCAAACACATCTCTGAATCCGCTTGCATCTGGATGTTACCCAGGCTGTATCAATTTGCATGTGTACCCTCATCTACTGTGTTTCGATATAACTTTGATAGTTATATCGAACAATTTCCTATATGTTCTCACATCTCTATGGATTAAAATAATAGAATTGCTGTCTTCCCCTACGTCTTCTTGACGAAAGGCGGTGCAAATAAGAATTTGGCGGATGAAGGGCAGGGCAAAGAGTGGCGGACACCAGTTCTGCAGTCGCCTGGCTCGAGAAACGAACCACGACTGTCAGAGGCTGCTAAGAGTGGAATGGTGGATGAGCATGCCTCCTTGCTGCCTAGGTGGCTGGCAATTTATTCCCGTCAGAAGAAGAATGTTAACAGGTAACTAACCAATTAACTAGTTAAATTATTAGGAGGATGGTCAGAGGCTGTTAACTGCGCAGATGATCGAAGATCCAAGCGCTGAACGCCACTCGTTGCATCCAGATTAATGCCACCCATATTTTACATTATTTACTTATTTATTAAATTTTAGTGGGAGGGGAAGCATAAATTCAGGAAATTCATGCCGTAGAATAAAACCAATCCCTTCACTATGCTCAAAATGATCTGTGCTCCGGGTAGAAAACTCAGCTGAAAACGTTGAAAGTGTGTTGAAAACAAGAAAGCTATGTACGCCGCATAGAAGTCATCTAACTTGGTATCCAAAATACAGGGAAATGAAGGCTGCAGAGCTGGGAGAGATTTAATATAAAACTGAAAAATCATAAGAATTGAAAGTGTGCTGCTCACACTATCCCAACTTGGATTTAGTGGGGGAAGCTTTTGTTGACAGCGCCTCGGGAGACTCCCTCCTTTAAACCAAATTACCCCGCAAGGCCTGCTCGCGCTCGATAGCCTCGAAGAGAGACTTGAAATTGCCAGCACCAAAGCCGGAGAAGTTATGGCGTTGGATGATCTCGACGAAAACGGTGGGACGGTCCATGAGGTGCTGCAGTTATTCCATCAGCGTTGAATTCAGTGGTTATAATTGTATCAACCCGAAACACCGAGATATATCTATATATATGTATATCTTACCTTAGTGAACAGCTGCAATAGATAACCTCCCTCATCGAAATCAATAAGAATATCCAACTTCTTCAGCATCTCAAAGTCCTCTTTCAGCTTCATCCCGCTGCGCTCCAGACGCTGCTTCATTTCTGTATAATACGTCTCGGGAACTTTGATAAACTCCACACCCCTGGCTTTCAGGTTGGTGATGTCGCGGATGATATCATTTGTGCGCAGGGCGATGTGCTGGACACCGGCACCGCTGTAGAAGTTGACGTATTCTTCTATTTGGGATTGTTTTTTGCCCTTTGCCGGCTCGTTAATGGGCATTTTCACGCGCTCGTTGGGCGAGGCCATGACGATGGATTTCAGGGCGGAGAATTCACTGAATTGAGGTTAGGGGGAAACCCTTTTAATAGAAGGGAAACAGTTAGGAGAGAGGAGTGACGTACGTGCAGATATCTTTATCGTCAACGGACCAGAACCGGTGGAATCCTAGAGCCTTCTCATAACTGAGATTCGTTTAGCAGGTCTTGCTTCTCCTCCCCCCACTCCCTCTTCCATCTAAATAGACATGCAGCAAATCAGGGGAGAATCTTACTATTCGCAAACTTTCTCCATCTCCTCCCAATCCTGATTCCCAACACAATGATCAACATGTTCCAGGATAACCGGAGGCAGGAGGCTCGAGAGGGGGTCTTTGGTATTCTCCTCACGGTATCCCGGTAGGAAAATGCCGTTATACCCAGATCTTTCGACCAAGGTATGTGTTGTATCTCCGTATGTCTGTATAGTAGCCACTCTGACCTGCCCCTGGCAATCCTCCAGCGTCTTGATACCAGAAACAACCTTGGCCCCATTCTTCACGGCAGCATTAAACACGGCCTCAACGTCGTCCACCTCGAAGGCAACATCCTTGACGCCGTCGCCATGTTTTTCGAGATGCGAGTGGATCTCCGTTAACAGAGCTTGTTCTTCAGGGCTGAACTGCGACAAATCATCCAGCGACCTCAGGGGGGAAGTGAGGACAAACGTGATATCGCCGTTCCCGACGACATGCGAAGCGATGACTCTGGACCCGGTTTCTAGGCCTCTATATGCGATCCGCTCGAAGCCCATGCGGGCTGTGTAGTAAGCAGCCGCCTGTTTGGCATTGCCAACATACCAGTGGACATGGTCGTATCCCTTATAGCTGGAGAGGTCGTTGTGCTGCTGGGTGCCTCTGGTGGAGGGTGGTGGAGAGACTGCGATGGGCGCCATGATGTGATGTTCCCTTTTTTATTTTTTATTTTTTATTTTTATTTTTAATTTTTTCTTTTGGTTTTGCCGAATGAGCTCTCCCGCTATAGATAAGTATGTTTGTATCACTCCGTGTATATTATAAATGGTATATGAAGGGAGGACGAACAGCTGCAGGAACCCCGAATGACTGGCCAAGAGCTCTTTTATATGTTCTGTAAGTGGGACATTCTACAGTGATTATTATTAATAATCATAATAATAATAATAAATAATAATAAACATGATAGTTAGATATATATATCTATATATATATATTTAACAAAAAAGCGGAACTTCGGTGAAACCTTGGAACCCTGCTCTTTGGAATCAATCAGTGTATTGTTATTGCTCATACCGCTCAGCCCGCGCACCAAAACCCACCCCGGGGCGAGCAAACCCACCCAGTCGGCAACTGCCAAAACATCGAATTTGATAACCAACGGAAAAACAGCTCATTCCCATTTTGGGGGTTGGGGGTGCCTTCCTTTGTCTTGCCTTGTCCATTCTCTGCCTGTAATCCCACCCCCGCCCGCCCCGTTCCTTCCCCATGTATTTTTTTG